ATTTTGGCATCATCCATTTGGTCGTCGAACCGAGAACTTGAGAAGCTATTTGGTCTTTGTAGCAAGTACTTCAGAAGCTATTTGTCGTCGTAGAGAGCACATGAGATGCTTTTCAGATGTGGTAGAGATCCATGTCGCAAGAACGTGTGGTTAATGCGATTTGAAGTAGTGTCGAAATAGAAATGTCCATCCGAGACATTCTGGAAATAAAGTAATGAAAATCGTTTGTGTTAGTACCAGATTAAGAGACATTAACTTTCGTTCAATATTAACATCAAGAAATAAGAACAGATGACTCCGCAGACCAACCATTTTATTTTTTCACCGAGTAAGTTTTGAGAAAATACTCAATCCATACTGAATGGGACGTCGACCCGCGTAAATATCACTCAATCATACAAGAACGTTGGAGTCGGACATTCATACAAATTATAATAAAAATTAAATTGTTTTAAGTTCAAAATCAGAATATAAAAAAACCTTCATATTGGCTTGCTTAACGAAAGCAGATTGTGTTAATAATACCCATAGGTACATTGATAACGTTTCATAATATTAAGATTGGGTTTCTGAGAACTTCCAATATTTGCTGGACTTGGGGACGATTATAGTTTAACGAGAGCATAACTTTTGATTTAGCATTCTCGTCTTAATAAGATCAGTCGCAATGTAAAAATAATAACACCTTTATTTCTTTATTGTTTAACATGAATTTCAGTGACAGACGACCTTCGACAGCGTTCCTGCGATCTGACATCAAATATCACTAGTTCTTCGTGCATGCAAATATTTATTCTGAAAAGTCAGAAAGAGGAAAACTGTCTGATTCATTTGTCATTATTACGGACGAGGCAGTTCTCCCGCAAGAATAGCATTTCAGTCTTCATGGCAACACAGAATAGACTAAAGCATACGGACATATAAACAATAAAAAAAAAAGATTGATGAAGCATCGTTTTGAGTATGTAATTAAGCAATACCGTAAGTTCCCTTCCTTGCGAAAATCTTAAAATAATAAGTTGAAAGTTATTAGAAATATTTTAGATCGCGGTTTTTGGATTGGATGATCCTTACATCAGTGCGTGTTAAAAGCTACTTTCCCATATCTCGCTTTCACGAAAGTATATGCACTATCATCTTACACTCTGCAACGATAATCTGTAAATGCCATGCGTTGCCTCCGTCTGCAAATGCTGTGTTCCTATCACCTTCACGTCGCACCTGGAGCGCCTGGAGGCGCCTACGCATTAGAGTCACCGAGACGCACGCGGAAGTATACCCTGCCTAGGCGAAGTAGGATCCCATTAGCATATTATGCACTTCGATCGGCCCCGACCGCCAGCGCTGTGACGCAGCGGGAGCAGCGAGGGGGGGGGGCAGCCAGCGCGTACTTCACGCGGACGCCCCGCGTGTGTCGCACCGCCGCCCCGGCCCGGCTGCGCGTGCGGTGCGAAGGGCCGGGGGAGTGCGTGGGCGTGGGCGTGGGCGTGGGCGTGGCGTGGCGGAAGGGCGGGAGGGAAAAGGGGTGCGGTCGGCGCCTACAGAGGTCGTTGACCGCCCCACTTTGGGGAAGGGTAGCGTGGGTAGCGTGGCTAGCCCCTATCGACGGCGGAGGGGCACAGCGCGGCCGCTCGCGAGGAGGGACGACGCGACGCGGAGGGGCGGCTGCGCGGCCGAGGGCGGGGGCGGAAGCGCTGGTCGGGAGGGGGGAGGGATCAGGAAGGAGGGGAAACCCACATTTACAACCACGTTTCTCAGGAAGAATTTAATGAAGTGTCTCACTTGCGTCCGCGTTGAAGTTCCACGAGCTTGGTGACTCTACTGCAGAGGCGCCTTCAGGTGGATCGACGACAAGTTGACAAGATCACGTGCTAACTCAGTGATAAAACATGTATTTACAGATTATTGTTGTAGAAAGTAAGATGATATGGGAAATTATTTTTTAACAAATATAAACAAAAGATAACAAAAGATATCGTGTATTAACGTAAAGTAATTTCAAGTCAATGAAATGACATCTCTGATATACAGTTCACTCGATTCAAAATAATAATAATAATAATAATAATAATAATAAATGAAACGTGTTTTTTTACCGACCCTTCTTAAAAACAGATACTTTTTCAGCCTAATATATATATATTATATTATATATATAAATTATATTATATATATTCTAGCTCACTCATATGTGTGCTATAAGAAGCTTTATTATCGCACTCATGCCATAAAGGATTTATTACAGTGCTAGTGTCATAATGGCATCACAAATATACGACTTCTTTTCGACGGCAAAAGGGAGGCGTTGTTTGAAACAGTCACCTGCCAATCTATAATATCACTACCTTAAATTAAGACTCATAATTAACGATTACCTAAAATAAGAGATTAAAAAAGTAATAAAATAAAAGTGAATTTTAATCGTCGTAGATAAAAAAAATGAAATAATGCACGTATCATTGTGATGTGCAAATTAATGTTGTATCATCAGTAATTATTGACGCACTACTCTCTTAAGACGACAGATACAATAATCACTTCAAAAAATCTATTTCTAAAATTAATAATTCTTTAGTGCTTTATTTATTGAAATATATATTGGTTAAAAAATATTTAGATATCGGCAATAGTTTTCGAGTAATGATTTAAAAGGTATGTTGCTGCAACATGATTTGTTCATGGAAGAGGGAGGGAAAGCGAAATACATGAAACAAATGTTCACGCCCAGAATTAGTTTTAAAGATTCATCTCCTTTATATCTCAAACAGTTATTAACATACAACTTTGAAACTTTTAATATTCGTGAAAACATGTAAAATCCACTAGTTCATAATTATCAGTTCAATAATTCTTCGAAAAAATACACAATACGAAATAAGTATAAAGCCAGTATATTATTTTTTCGCATAAATTTAAATACTTTTTTTAAAATCTAACCAAAAAGCACACTCGCGCACAGATGAGTATCTCCAACAAATTAAGACAATAAATACAAGGAAATATTTTCAAATATTTAAATTATCGTGGAATCAATTACGCTCCTGTATTAAGAATTTTATATTAAAAAATCTTTTTGTTTTAATTCTGTCTTTTTAGTCGGTGTAAAGCTTGCATAAATTAGTGGACAAGGTTGAATGTAGCTAAATTTGACAACTGTGTACTAAGCTATATCTACCGTTTGCTAGCGTTTTATTCAGAACAGAATATTCCTAATGACGAAAAGAGGGGAAGTGAAAAATAAGTACTACATCAACATCATTTTAAAACTTGTAAATTAATTTGCTTTCCAAAAGTGGTCAGCTAAATAAAGAGCGTTTTGAGCAATACAATTTTGAAGACATATTTTGTTAAAAAATCATTGATGTTCATCGAGGCGATCTCGAGTTCTTCCAATCACACAGTTCGGATAGAGTTAACTGAGATGGACATCTGGTGGAGGATATGAGAGTATATCGAGGAGTTTCAGGGGGCGCCCACGGAGCGCGCCTGAACGCAGGACGTCCCCACGGTCCGCGCCTTCAAAGGAAACCGAGGTTTAATGCACAGGTGCGGAACTACGACCAATGGCCATGTACCCGCAAAATAGCCCGTACAATAAAAAAAATGTTTCTCACCAAAATATTACATCTTGATTTTTATATTTTTTAAGCAAACTAGTGGTAGTAAAACGGCACATACTGCCTCGCCCTTAGTAATGCTTAGTAATGTAATGTAATACTTTTTTTTTTAATTTTCAAAAAAATGCTCATGGCTTTATTTCAAAATCTATCTTTAACGAATATATTTTATTAAGGAAAAAATATCTCTTTAATATTTATGCTGTAAGAAGACTCCAAAAAATTCTGAACTTTTGCAATTTTCGAAAAATCAGGGTTTTTAACGGTCAAGAGACTTGCTATATCCTCTTAAAAGTCCTTCACACTATCCAACAACAGAGTTTAATCAAAAACGTTGAAGCCTTTTTTTATTTTGAATATGTCACTTGGGCTTCATGTATAGTACGTCTCAAAATTAAAATATCGGTTTCAAAATCAAGAAGCAACGACATCAGCCAGATCGATATTGGAAAGCCAATTTTGGAGAAAATCGGCTGAACGGTGTAGCCGCTAGCGTTGTTTACAGACGGACAGACATACATTTTGCCGTCATTCGATTTTTCGGTATCACGACCCCACAAAACATGGATCCTGGCTACACCACCAGAGGATTTTCCCCCTCAGTTTAGCAACTGGATGTATCAACTTTTTCGTCTCCAGGGCCTTGTAATATTTGTTGCTTTTTACCAAACATTCGCCGTATTTCGCGTAGCATTACACAACTTTTTGATTCGTAAGCGACTGCGAGAAAGTGAAACGATACAGATGACGCAGCTCATTGATTTTGCCACGCTGCAAAAAGGGGTAATCTTCGCTTCGTTTTGGCTTCGGCGGAAGTGATGGGGCGGGTGGGGAAGGGGAGGCGGCGCTGCGCCGGGCGGGGCGGGGCGGGGCGGGGCGGGGGCGGGGCGGGGCGGGGGCGGAGCGGCCGTGCCGAGAGAGATCGCGTGCGTTAGCGGCGGTTATTCATAGGGCAGTGAGTGTCCGTTGCGGCGTAGTACTCCGTAACGAGGAGCACTTTGTGGAGCCCAGCACAATGCTGGCCGCGAGCCGTTCGATTCAGCACGACAATATACATGATTTATCTGCGTAAATACTTCAGTAAAGTAACTGGGTCTTATGAGTACACACTCTGATGAACGTTATAAATACTACAAGAATATGCATTTAAATGGGTCTCATTTTGTTTAAGACGAAACGTCGAATTAATTGCCGTTTTGACGTACAATGTTGACTCAATATACTGGATGATATTTCATATGCAGAACAGCCTTTAAACATCTGTCTAAAATTTACTCATACTATGCAATGATTCAATGCCATCAAGAATAATCTAGGTAATCTAGATGGTGCTGATTGACTTCGCAGGGTTGTTGTACTAAAAGTGAGTTAACTTCATCGACCATGAATACTTTGTACGGAGATAGTAAAATTAATGATTTTCGTCTGAAAAAATATTCATCAATACGGAAATCGTAACATCTTATGAAACTTCCAAGATTTTCCATTAACCACGCTCGAAAAACAACAAATATTTTAAACAACTTCTTTAAATGAAGACATTAAAATTTTAACTTTTTTTTCTTTCTTGTGTTTGAATTTTGAAGTTTACTGATTCATTCTCACAAAGGTTTTATATTGAAACTATAGTGCAATAACTATAACTGAGGAAAATAGATTTAAATATTAGGGCCTGCTGCATTGTAACAGAATGAACGCACGTATTGAAGAACAATTTTACATGTTCAAGTGAATGTCTAATAACCAGGAAATTAATAAGATTATCATCATTAGTTTACACAAATTCCGCCTCTGCAAAATAGGAGACATAATACCTAAAACACAACAACGACCGGGGATGGTCAAGAAGTTCAACTGCCCATTTTTGAAGGATATATGTCGTACTGTTGTATACATCCAATTCTAATAAATCTTTTCGCCTACAAACGTCTTTCATTCCGTCAGACTTCTATTAGAAACGATATTTTTGATTGAGAATGTCGTTTTAGTGACAATGATTAAACCTTTCTCTTTTCGACAAAAAATGAGACTTTTTGAGCTCTCGACGATAACGGCAAAGAAAATGGGAGAAATTAATCGTGCTCCTAGATAGCTGTACAGATTGCCTTTCTTACCACCGAATTTGATATCTGTCGCTCACAAAAGAAATTAGTTCTAGAACAGTTCTAAAACGTAATTTCTAAAGAAAAAAATCAAAAAAAGAAAATTTGGAAAACAATTGTATTCCCGTAGCAATGCAACCGTGCCTTCTTCGAAGCCGAAGACGTCATCACGACACAAATGACATTCCATTAGTTATTTCTGCTCACTAATAGGAAATGAGTACGATACGTTAATGATGACGATACTGTAGTGTTGAAGGGGAAGAATCTTGGTTTCGTGAATAGTATCTCCAAAACAAAGTCGTCTCTTCAGCGACTCTTACGTGGCAAGATGGAGACTTCCCTAAGACAGTTTGCCTAACGACGTCGGAAGAAAATGATACGGCCTCTCAGAACCTCTTAAGACATCATCAGAACAAGAAGGAGGAACTGTCAAGAGCTTGGTCACTGGTCTACTCAGGTACGTAAAGCACCTTCTCCTCAGGGTGAAAAATACATTTAAAGCAGTGTAAAGTGATGTTCGGTGATTATCACGCGTAATATGAACGTACGTCCAAATCTAATCAATCTGATTTCGATATTGAAAGAAATCAAGGAATGTATGCCTTCTTGTGAACTGGATTTTTGGGAACGTATCATAAACCTTTAATTTATAACCGTGAACATATGTTCTCGTTTTATATTTTTGATACAAAAATAATCAAGATTGTTACTTTTTCACAGTAGTTGCAAGAAGAACAAATTCTACGCATTTACTGGGATAAGAGATATCGGAAAATATAGCATTTTACTTTTTATGATCATTTAGACGCAACAAAATTATCAATGAAAGACGGTCAGTGATCGTGAAAGATGTTGTCATGGAAATCCAAACTCGGCAAATTATATTATGGTACGTATTTTTATTTGCTTATTAATATTGTATTTATTCTACATGCGCCATTACATTTCAAGGACTCAGTAGAATAACGTACTATCCCACATTTTTTGTGAAATTAAGTTATTAGCATAATAAGAAACTTCAAATAGTATACTTTTGTGTAATATGTTATTTAAATGCAGTATGAACTTACATGCAAGTGTACTGTGTTTAAAAGTTTAAAAATGTGTTGAGTTATACGAGGAAAGTTCAGATAAAACCCTCATTTCCTTAGAACTATGTCCATGTGGAATAGCCACCTGTTAGAGCGTAGGCTTCCGCGGTCGGAGTCAGTATTTAATTGGCTGTCCGGGTGACGCCTCGTCCAATGCAAAGGTGCCGACGTTTCGGTCGCCATTCTGCGACCTCGCACATTACGCCTCCGCAGTACGCCCCGAGGAAGGTCGAAGAATGGCGACCGAAACGTCGGCACATTTGCCATGGACGCGGCCTTACCCGGACAGCCAATTAAATATAACCACTTGTTCTACTGAACCCTTTATTTTAATGAAACTTTGATGAATGAAGTAATGAACTTTCAGGTGTGGATGGCAAACCGAAATAAACCAGTCCCCTGTCAGGACTAAAAGCCTCTTGAGATCTGAGGATTGACGTCCGCGTGTAATTTTGCCACTTGACGTGCCATCCGAGGCCGGAAGCCATGCTGGTGTCGCGGACGCTGCTGGCCGTGGCGCTGGCGCTAGCGCTGCCCTGCGCGAGGGCGGCGCCGCTGGGCGCGGCCGAGGCCGTGGGGCGAGGGCGCTGGGGGCTGGAAGCGCCGCGGGCGCTGCAGCAGCCGGGAGAAGCACTACAGCGGCTGTCGCCGTTCGCTGCCGCGGCGCCACCGGCGCCCCCCGCCCCCGCCGTCGACGCAGGCGCCGTGGAGGAAGGCGGCCTCTTCGAAGGAGACATCATCCTCACCCCGGACGAAGTGGAGTGGCTCAAAAGCAAGGTGAACCCTACATCCATTGATTGCTTGTTAGTGATTCCGGTCACGCCAACTACTAGGGTCATTAGTTCCGAAAGTACAGTGCATGTTTTTGCTCGGGATATGGCGGTGGTGTTGCCCCGCTTTATGGCGAGGTCCGGCGCCAACATACCGTCGACTTGCAGGGGCTTTGCGCTTACTCAAAAATTACAACTGATAATGAATGTGCTAAATCACTATTTGCCTTGCAGGGGCGAATTCAAAGACAAATTTTATGATGAGAAATTCAAAATTTTTTGGTCAAATGTGTCATATTACAGATTTTCTGAAATGTGACGGGCTGCACTCAGCTCATGCTGCGATATGATTTTATTTCTTTTAATATTTATACGAAAATAGTTTTCCTTGAACGTTTCGTGACAAGTTAAAATTAATAGTTACTGGGAAATTTTAGGGGGAAGGGAATTTCCCTCCCTCATCTTCCGCCCCAAAATAACACGCCCACGAATCCGCAGATGGCGAACGGCAGCACGGCGCGCGAGGGCCGCAACCTGGTGGCGACGCGACGGCAACTGTGGCCCGGAGGAGTCGTGCACTACGACTGGGGCAGCGAGTTCAGCAACGTGACGAACCGTCGCTACGTCCTCTCCGCGCTCAAGGACATCGAGGCCCACTCGTGCGTCCGCTTCCGCAAGCGCACCTCGCAGAAGACGTACCTGCTGCTGCGCAACACCCGTAGCGGGTGAGGCCCGGCGGCTGAGCGCCACTTCCAAAGCGGTGGCAAGGAGCCTACTATAACCATGCAAAATATAGTTATGAAATACTTTCTTATAAAAATATTTTTTCTTAATTGGATACATCACTAATTGCATACACTGCCATAATATTTTATTAACAGTTCATGCAATTAGTTTATAATGATAAGCTTTATTGCACGAGTACATGTTTTGAAAACTATCCACGTGAGGAGCGAATAAATGTATAAGAGAATCAAATTTTATTTTGCGAAACAACTTTCTTGTGTCGTCTCGGATATATGTCATCTGTGTCATAAAACGGTGGTCGGCTATTCCGTTTACCTTTACCTCCCCATTATTCCCTCGCTATGATTGGTTGAACGTGTTATGACGCAATCATTCGTGCCGTAAAATGATAATACGTCATCATTTGGACCGTAAAATGCCGGATTATGAACGATTTCTTGCAACCGAAAATATCGTTTATAATGCTCGTATACAAAAATAGTTATTTATCATACGAGTGGTAAAAGTGGGATTATTTATTGCGAGTAGGAAAAGTTGCGACACGAGTCCGATAGGTGAGTGGCGCAATTCTACGAGCAAAATAAAATTACTTTTAGACACACTAATTTTTAGACAACCCTACTGACTTTCATTTTATTATAATTCCAGCATACAAATCAATTAATTGTAAACTACGTTAGATTAAGATCAAACGTAGCTGAAACGATCTCACGGAAGTATTTTGGTTTCTTTGTTGCATTTATATGTTTACCTGCACATTTGAGAATTGTCTCACTTTTAGCACCAGTGCTAAATTTTGAACTGTTTGAATTCTCTGAATGCCCTTATCAAAAAAGTATTTACTTTCTATAGTTCAAGTTTATGTATAATTTGGAGGAGTATATAAATTTTATATACTCCACCCTTAGCAAAAATTTCCCTAATTTCCCTCCCCGTGGATCCGCGCGTGCATACGAATGATATTTTCCTTCCTTCTAAGTAACTTTCTGAGCCTTCGGAAAGTGAAAGACTTCGCGTTCCCGACAGCATGACCACACACGCGTCTACGTTGCAGCTGCGCGGCCCCCGTGGGGTACGTGCCCATCGGGCGCCCCATCGACCTGTACCTGGGGCAACCGGGCTGCCAGCGGCGCGGCACCGTGCAGCACGAGTTCCTGCACACGCTGGGCTTCTGGCACGAGCACACGCGCCCCGACCGCGACCAGCACGTCACCGTCCACTGGGCCAACATCAAACCAGGTGCGCCTCCGCGGTACAACTTGCCAAACCATCAGAGAGCTTGGGTTCAATCTGCCAGCGGAAAGTTATTATTTCTTTCCGAATTATATTTTTACGCAGTTCTTTCGGTGGTAGCCTTTGTTCTCACATTTGGAGACAATGCAGATATTTTATTAGTAGCTTCCAAAGCTCGATGCAGTGATACATTTCTCCAGGTCTGGAATTCAACTTCTTCGTTCGTCCCGCCAAGGACGTGCAGTATCTGAGGATGCCCTATGATTACGGCAGCGTCATGCACTACCGGTCGGTGGCCTTCTCCAAGGACGGCCGCAGCCACACGCTGGAGCCCAAGGAGCCCCGGGCGGTGCGCCTCATGGGGCAGCGCATGCGCTTCAGCAAGATCGACCTGGCCAAGCTGAACCGCCTCTACAACTGCCCTCCCCACTACTACCGAGGAAACGACGTGCAGATCAAGAGGAAGAAATCGTCTCTGTATGGTACGTCTGTAGTAGAAAGGATATCCTCCAAAGAAGAGGAAGAAACCAATGAGGAATGGGAGGGGCCGTATCCCCTAAACACTACTTTGGAACTGCCGGGGGTGTTCACTCTTGTCCCGCCCCCACTGCCTGAGATTTCCACAGCCCCACCGTCAACTGAAGTTCCAAAGCCTCCGAAACTGCCGACGCCATCGCCACTGCCGGCACCCCCAGCAACCGCGACCCAACCACCAGTATCGCCTCAGCCAACCATAGTAATAATCCCACCTACTCAACCTGCTCTCCCGGAACCGACGGAGCCACCTGCCCCGATTCCACCCCCTCCTGAGCCACCGAAGTTGGTACCAATAGTAACAGTTCAACCGGCTCCGTCTTCCGTTCCTGAACCACCCAGCCCGCCCGACACATTAAAGCTGCCAGGAGCCCTAGAGCCTTCGCCGTTGCCGACACCGGAGATGATTATCTTTCCTCCCTCACCTGTGACCGAAGCCCCTTTCCCACCCTTACCCAGTATTCCTCCTCCACCGCCCCTCCTCCCGTTACCCACCCTCCCTCCGCACACGGCTCCTGCCTCTCCCATTCCGCCGCTTTCCGCCGCCGCCTCGCCCGGCCCCGAGGGCCCCGTGTACATCGTCGAAGAGAAGACGGGCGAATGCGCGCGCGCGCTGCAGGGGGCCAGCGAGAACGCCCTGGGCGCCGCCGGCGCCAACGCCAACGCCACCGCCACCGCGCTCGGGCAACTCTTCCTGCATCTCGCCGGACTCTCCCCTTGGAAGCTCTCCGGTGCCAACTAGACGCTTCGTCATCCAACAAAACGACGAGTGCGTCAAGTTGAATTCTGTGAAATGAATAGCACAAGACAAGTCAAGTTTTTAGTCGTAACTATTAACTGAGTTCAGATTATTCAGCTACCGGACGTTCGAAGCCATAGGGATTTTCCGTAGCGTGAAAAATGATCAAACTGACCAGTTTAAAACAATCAGTAACTCTTAAAATTAGCCACGACCTGAAATCTCTTATCCTGATATGTCTTCCATTCATGACTCTCAGTGGTACTAAAATTATCAACAGCGATTCCCAATATCAATAAGTACAACCTTCTAGACATCATAGAAGAGACATCGTCAAGAAATTACCGTTTAGTACAAAACATTTCTTTATCAAATTGATAAGAAGGCGGCGTTATATTTGTTTCACCTGAAATAACTCATCCGGTATTTTTAAGTGTGATTCAATTTATTAAAATACCACAACATCTATTAATCATTACTTATCATTTAGCATGTGCCTTGTCAAGCGCAATACAGATAATAAAAAACGGATGGCAATAACATAGTCAACACAGTTAAACATAATAAAAACAAAGGAATATAAAAATACTAAAATCACTAATACAATTTGGTGTTTACATTAGAGTATAACATATTACATGACGAAAAGTTGTGGGTGATCTGGGCTGTCCGGGTGACGCCGCGTCGAAGGCTGAGTTGCCGACGTTTCGACCATCCTGTCGTGGTCTTCCTCAGGGCTGGTATGCGCCGTGATGGTCAGCGCTCGTGTTTATATTCAAGTCTAGGCCGTGTGCTATTGGCTGAAGCAGCGGCCAATCGGAGCGCTGACCATCACGGCGCATACCAGCCCTGAGGAAGACCACGACAGGATGGTCGAAACGTCGGCAACTCAGCCTTCGACGCGGCGTCACCCGGACAGCCCAGATCACCCACATGACTCTGGTCGCGGAAGCCTACGACTTCATGACGAAAAGTTGCTAAAAACGTTGAAGACGGCATCCAAATTAGTGGTTACAATGATGCATGCGTCAGTTGCAATGGGTAGCACAAGACTATACGTTAAGAAATGGCAGTGAAAATATTGTAAATTCAGGGCATCATGTAGTGAACAGTGGGTTTGTAAAAACAAAAAAGTTGTTTTTATTGAGTTAACTGTATTGTCTATGCTATTGTCAACCGTTTTTCATCATCTGTATTGCTCTTGACAAGGCACGTGCTAAATGTGTTAAACTTTGAGGTATTAATAAATGTATAAATTACAAGTCTTAATTCCTTATATCTACCTAAGATCGATCCTATATGGTCCAAACCTACTTAAAGGTTATCTATCTACATAAAACTAGGATCAGCAGGAAGAACAACAATTTCAATATTATTATTATTATTATTATTATTATTATTATTATTATTATTATTATTATTATTATTATTATGTATACTGATTTATGTACGATTCACTGGAATATTTTGTAAATGCGAAAATATTTTACATGAAATGAAATGAGCATCTTGCACATAGTTGTTTCATCAAAGCACGAGGTCTTCATTCTTCACTATCTGTTCCTATCATTGAAACTTAGGGACCGTAAATCAGAATTAGTACTCATCGCTATTTTTCCTCCAAAGAACAAGTCACTTTAACATTTTCTCAAAAGACAGAAGTTAAATAATTTACTTTTTCTATATCAAGTAAAAGTTAGCATTAAAATACGTTTTTGACAGTCTTCAAACGACGTGTCGTGTGTTACTGCACCATCATCTTCAATTTTTTTTTTTAAATAAGATATTTTAATAACTAACGGAAGAGGTTCCTATCTATTGATATTCAGTACTTCATCGATCTCCCATGTGAGGAAGTTTGGCAATTGTTAAATTTACCTGTTACGAAGAGATATCTTTGCTACTTGCGAAATTGCTTGTATGTGAAACCGAGTGAATGCCACGGCCGGTATCCTACGTATTTTGCAAGTAGTGGGGGTAATTTTTGAACAAGTTAAAGCTGAACACTGTTCATAATCAATAGATCACTATAATACCCAAACTTAATATCATGTTGTACCAGTCGAGAAAATTCTGGATCAACATACTAAATTCGACACATGTATGTTCGCTCCACATAACCTCAAAGCTTAAATGGCGGAAAGGCTATCGCGATCTGAGGCACGTACAGTTGGACCGGAACGGCATTTCGGAATGTCCAAGATCTTTCCTTCGGACTTTTTGTTAACGGCGAAATTGCAGTTCGTCCCGTCATGACTGCGACAGCCTAGTGTGCACCCTCTTTCGGGAGTATATAATGAACTATTACAAGATCCGGTCCGTCCGGGACATACTGTTCCGACGCGCGCTAGGCTACACTCGCACTTCCTTCTGTGAAGCAGCGTAAATATTTTCATTGCTTCGTTGAGTAGAAGATGTGCACCTTCTAATTCTTGGCAGTAAATTAGTATTAATCTCATTAGTAGTAATAAAATTCCGATCAACCCAAATAAAGAAATGAATTGTCTTATGTCAACCTGACTTGTTATTATAAATTACCACTAACTCATTGTAGACATTTTTAGGATTCCCACAATTACATACTTGGCTCAGGAATTGATTGAAACGGATAAGTTGAAATAATGAAAACGAGAAAGAGGAATAAATTAAGTTACAACCCAAGAATCCGGGCCCTAGTCATTAACCATATGACGATATAATAGAAAATAGAAGTAACTGCAATAAGGTTCGATTATTTTTACCTAGCGGATAAATTTGTAGTATCCAGATTAACCTGCGCACAAATTAAAGCCGCAAGTTCTAATGACCGCAAACAACGATGACCCCAAATGTACAATTTGGTACGCTAAATTAGGCACATGCGTATCTACATAGCAGAAATGGCACGTGCCATGATCTGCCACTGTCAACAAATGGATATTGTTTTATTAGGAAAAATAACTTTTCGTAAGGAAAACACGCTTTGTACGTGGAAAACTGCTTTTCGTCAAGATTCGTTCAATAAAATGAAAGTATTCAAGATACTGATACCGATATTCCATCTGAGTCAATGATTTTAAAAGAGACAATTTTGCGTTTTTCAAATAATTCTGATCCCGAAAGCTCATCCAAGAACGTGTTTGCTTTAATGCAGTTTTCAATAGTCTTTTCGAACCGAATACGGCAGATTACTACTTATCTCTAGGGCATATTACTTGCCTCTATGATTCCACATTGTTGAGTGAATACAGCAGATATCTTGAACCGTTTAGAAGTTGTGGGAAAGGCCAATAGTTGGTGGGACATTCTCTACAACACTAAATCTGTAGCTTCATACATTGTTTCATAAAAAAACACAAACAACTCACTCTTTCCCTTAACTTAGGGTGATGGGGCGAGGACGTGCAGCGTCTGCGCGCGGGGAGCCTATGCCGAGTGCAAGAGCGCGCCGTCTCCAGCGCGCGGCACAGCCAACTCGTCGGGCGTCTCCTCACTAGCAGGCTTCCCTCTCAGCTAACAGCCCTGTTGATTCCTTTGCGCGTAAGCAGAGAAAAGGGGATCGAACATTTAATTCACTTCAACGATTCAGTAAAAAAATATTGAAAAAATGGCATACAAAGGCATATTTTGTTGAAAAATAATTTGGGTATTCTAAAGCTCCCAGATTACCCTTCAGCTTTGTCACTACAGTATACCCTCTAAAACAAATAACAACCCTAATTTGAAGTGAACTGGCAGGGGCGCAAATTATTTGCTTGCCACGTGCGCCTGAATACCTAGCTCAGGAGTTACGCAATATTTGCAATTGATCATATATAACGCGTCCATGCAAACCCGCACAAGACATCCGCCGCTCATAACCCTCAGCACTTGACAACTTTGAACCGTTCGGAAATTAGAAACATACTAACGGAACCCGGGAAATGTTCTCCCTTTATCTACCTCTTTTTCCTTCCGTCGCCGCCTCTGTTCCTCCCTTTCTCCGTCTCCTTCGCTCTCTCTCTGTCACTCAGCAACAATGAAGCCCAGGTGCTGGAGAAATGACACCATGAATCCTGCAGGGCTGTCCGTAAACTCGTGAGAGTGCGAGGGAATGGAGATCTCTTCCGAATAGAAAGTTGCAAGGCATCACGGATATGCTTAATAATGCTCATGTCTGGGGATTTTGGTGGCGAGTGGACGTTTTTAAATTCAGAGAAGTGTTTCTAGAGCAACTCTGTAGGCAGTCGCATTGCCCAGCTGGAATTACCCACGCCCGTCGGGATGCACAAGACATAAATGCGTGCATGTGATCAGATAAGATTCTTACGTACGTGTCACCTGTCGAAATAGTATCTAGACGTATCAGGTGTCACATATTTATCCAAATTTACACAGAGCCTCCACCAACTTGAACATCCCCCTGTTGACAAGCAGGATCCATGGATTCATGAGGTTGTCGCCATACTCGTACTCGTCCATCCGCTCGAAACAATGTGAAGCGAGGACTCGTCAGACCAGGCAACGTGTTTCCCGTCAGCAACAGTCCAATGTCGGTGCTGACGGGCCCAGGCGATGGGTAAAGCTATGTGTCGCGCATTCATCAAGGGTATTCTGATTAGTTCCAGATCTCATTATGTCAATATGCATTGCATTTTTATTGTGGCTCTTCAGTGTGTGTGTGTTCTACAATGTCACAGGCTGTCCTGCGAGGGGACGTTAATCTTTCGCTACCGTCTGCACTACCGGTCGCGGACCCCAATGGCGATAAGCATCTGAAGACGCCGCCGGCCCCAAGAGGCTCATTGCGGGAAGGAACCGCACCGCCATCCAAGGAAGGCCAAATCAATCCGGACTACGCGTCGCTTCACGTGCACGAGCAAAATTTTAGTTTGCAACCTTCACATCCGTACAATAGTACACTTCAGATATAACTTTTTAGAAATTTCTTTCTAGTGTCCGCATTTGTTGGTATTAGTGAACATATTTATTTTATTTAGGAACAACTTCTGGGCTAGTGTAATTCACTTGCTTAAATCTGTTGTTCTTTTCCAGTCTTTGGAGAAAGGGCAACAACTATGTCCAAGTTCTATTTCTGCTGCATCTATCATTATATAGTTTGATGGGTACTTTATCTTTTCCAAATATCATACATTTAGATTTATTTGTGTTAATTTTGATGAGGAACCTTTGCAGAAATCCTGCAACGCTAATAATCATTTTCTGTAATTCTTTCCTTTTAGCTAAAATAGCTATATCATTAGCATCTATTAAACATTGAATTCCTAAACCATTCAATTGTACCCCTTTTGTTTGATTGCTTCTATAAGCAAGTTGAATAAATGGGGTGAAAGGGGGCATCTTTGTCTTAGTCTGTTTCTGGTCTTTGATTTGGCCTCTTGGTTATTGATGGATTTTCTTAAAAACTGATTTTTATAGAAGTACAGTATAATTCTTTGAACCTTCCAGTTTAGATGTATGCATTTTATGTTGTCGAAAGCTGTTGTGAAGTTGTGAGAATGCTACAGATGTGCCCTGTTCATATCTATTCTTCTATGATACTCCTGAGTGCAGTCTGGTTTTAAAAATTGCCTTCATTTTACACAAAAACTATTCAATTTTGAAAAAATTGTGTAGAATCTCATTTAAAGATCTAATTATGAAGAACAGATTTCATTATGTAGTTGTTTTTATCTTTAGTATTGCAGTTGTAGTAAGTAAATTTTAAATTTTTAGCAATTTTCGAAAATTGAGTGTGTTCAACAAAAAGCATTTTGTTAACTGCACCTCTTTCAGACAAAAAATTTAAAGAAAAATCTGGAGCCTTTTTTTTTTTAAGAAAACTTTGAAAATGACCTTGAGGATTCATGTAAAGTACCTTACCTCCCAAAATCACCGTATTTCACTGCAGAATTACATATTAATCTAAACTATGTAAATAGAATTCAAAAAGTTAAAAGGAACATTAAAATATGTAATAATAATAATAATAATAATAATAATAATAGTTCCATTTCAGATTACTCACTCAAGAATATTTTCTTACTAAATAAAGAAAAATATAATTATCAAATGGTTCACAGGATTAAGAAGTTTGACAAGACACACCCAATATTATTTATTACTAATGATTTTTTGAACAAAATGTATAAAGAAAGTGTAATTAACTGTTTGGTTAAAAAATACTTTTTGTTGATTTAGTAATACTTCTGTGGAAGATCCAATCCACCTTCAATTGGAATAAGAATTACCAAACTCCATTGGATGATTACAGAAGAGTGCATAAGTATGTCTACTTATGCATTTTCAAAAAATTAGCAAGAGACACTGACCGCTTGAGGAAAACTACATAAAGGTAAGTCAAAATAACATTATACACTTATATTTTTAATGCATTATTTTTGAATAGACATTTCTTTGGTGTTAGTTCTAAGTCTAACAATAATAACCATATCCATAGAATGACATACAACTTGTACTTTTCTATGGTTTCTCAGCCTTCCATGCACCAAGTACAGAGCATGCATGATAGTTAACAACAATTACATTGAGGGCTATTTCTCTATTACATCTACAATCCAGTACATGAAAATCAGACCTATTTAAATACAATGCTTTCCTTTTAAAATTACCAGATCATGTTTATTAAGTGAATTTCTAAAATAAAATCATTTCCAGCAAAACAACACGTGAACATTTCCATAATTCTACGATTATGGGATAAACAAATTATTAAGTAAAAGATAATTCTTCAAAACAAATTCAAACTAGGGAAACACTCAAATAGTACAATGTCCTGAAATTTGTAACATACATTCCCTACAAATTTGTTGAATATTATCTTGCGTAATTGCAAAAGATTTGTGTGAATAAATATAACTTAACAAAAATCAAGTAAGCATCAATGAGGTCAAATTTTGAAGGGTTTTTACTCTGATTTACATGCTATATTCTCAAAAATGTTTTTGATATTCAATTTCCTAAATTGATATCAGTTTATGAGCAATGTATTTTATCACTCAAATTCAAATGTTATGGATTTAAAAATTTTGAACCAAAATTATTACATTTATAGAATAATTAAAAAACCAAAAGCAATGATCAAACTGATCAGAGGAAAATGAATCTTTAACTTACAACGAAAGTGAATGCTCTTAAATTGTCATACTTCAGTATCACATTCATAAGATTAATGAACTTGCAGAGCAATAAAAATTAACAAATTTTAAACAAGCATAATTACATTAACTGCAATTAAATATCTAATAATATTCAAAATAAACAATTTGTTTTACAACAAATGCAAAATAAAACACAAGATATTCATACAAATAATACACAAACGTTGCTCAAACACAACAAAGAAATTGCATGAAATTATTTTCAAAATCTTCAGAACATTAATAGAAAAAACACTTTCTTAACTACTAACTTGAAAAATTTGCATCAAAGTGAACACTAGTGTCACCCTGTTAGTCATAGCTGCTCTCTCAAAAGACAATCAACACTTCACATTCATTTCACCTGAAATTGCTTATTGATCTTATTGTTGCTATTGATCTTATGAGTGTTAGGTGAGAAAAAACTAAACAAAAGGGGGCATAAAATCTGTAATTGTCAATAGTAATATTCTTCTTCTCTTGAACATAGATGGATTCCTCAAAATATAATAGTATTAGATAAGATCTACAAGGTCATTTCTAAAAAATCGGCAAAACCAGATTAAGGAAAATAATACAACTGGAAAAAAAATGCTGTTAAAGGAAAGAAAGTCTAGCCATATTGCTAGCAATATAAAATGCTAACCACTTTAATGAAATCAGCACCGCTCCAAATAAAATAAACATTGAACAAACTAATTCAATGCATCTAATTTAAGAAGCATATAAAATATTAACTATTCCATCAATGTGAAACTAGTATAAATAACAAGATAATTGACTAAATCTGTGCGCTGTAGAAATTATCCCCCAAGAGAATTAGTCACACTGGTATTGGTGAAATCAGTTTTAAAGACAGATTTTCTCTAAGCTACGTAAAAAGAAACATGAAATGCAATACTGTATAAACAATAGGGTATACAATGTTTTCACATGTTTCTTACCTGCAGTTACATATGTGGCAGTGATTTAATAGAGCAATTCTTTTCTTTTCAATATATCCTCCAGTTTTACAAAAGGAATTAGTACTTAGTAATATGTGTTGTCATTCAGTTGTACTACAATTGTATTCAAGTACTGTACCAAAACGTACCAGTCAGCATTCCATGAACAAATGTACACTTCATAGCAATGGTCAAATAATCACAATTATTTCAATTACAGTTTACTGTATATTTGCTAGCACAACATCAGATAATAAACAAAAATCAAACAGAAAAACAAGACGAATTAAAAATTACATACTTAATTTGTAAGTAGGTAATAGAAAGTCTTTCAAATTCTCAATGAAAAGATGAAATTGTCAAACACTGCTTTTCATTATACCAAGTGGAAGACTTGAAAGCACGTAAGTAAAATTGCTTCATTAAAAATAATTAAAGATACACTAATAATATTTGATTAATTTAGTCCCTCATATGTTCATATCAATACATTTTCAATTAGAAATCTCACACTTTTCACAATATAAAAGAAAAACTTGTCAACAGGAACTTGGTAATAGTTAAGATAGGCCTCAAATGGGGGAAGAATTGTTTTAAAAGAAATTTTTCATTATGATCTTGTGTATAATAAAAGTTTCAAAAACATAGCTTTAGATTACAAAATATTTGGAAGATTATCCAAAATGTTTATATATTACAAATAATGCAAGTAGCAAAATATAAGACACTTAGAATATATCAGCTAACAAAAACCAGTGTTAGTGAAAAGAACATGCCAGTTCAAGCAGTGTAATTAACATTTAAGACAGAAATATCACTACAAATATTTGAGCTACTAAAAATAATGTCATTTCTGTAGCATATACTTATGAGCAACACCCTTATATAGAATATGGAATGATTCTAAAGGAAAGAAATGCTGTTCTTTTCTTTACGTTACTGCTCAGCCCACTCTTCAAAATAACGAATTTTCAATTATTTCAACCTGGAGCATAGATATTATACCATAATTATGTGTAAAAGAATTGGACCATTTCCATTATACGTAAACAGTTCACTAGCCAAAAGATTTAGTTTTCTTGATAATTGGAAATTGTTTGTTTTTTGTTGAGGAAAATGCACCAGTTCACTAGTCAATATAATCTCCCAAGGGTTAGTTAAACCTTTTGATTTGTTTATGAAACATCAAAATAGATGTAATTTGTTATTAAGAGTGCCAGAATGAATTTTCTCAGAGCCACTGAAAATTACAAAATCGAGGAAGTCATTTACTTCCAGGAAAAAGGAATAATGCATGATCCAGATGTCCAATGTGGTCACAAATTTGTTGATCCTGATACAGATGTCAACATGCAAAAGATAAAAAAAGCACTGGGAGATTCACAAAACATCATAAGGTGCAATGCGAAACTCATCAGGCAATGCTGGAGTCTTATTTAGTAAGTGAATTTATGCGGCAGAAGACAAGCAAAGGAAAGGATTATGTAATGAAATATTAAATTATATTTGCTGAAGTTTGGTGTATGTCATCATTGAAGCAGCAATTAGTGAGTTTTAAATGAAATTTTAAATGTAATATTAGTTTTTAATTGTTCATTAGTTCCCTGAACCAAGAAAAAATTATTCAATCATTTCACAATTTTGTAATATTTGAATTAGTATACAATAAGCATCTAATTTTTTTAGATTTTTAATTTTACATTTTCATTGTTAAACAACAATGGTACCTACATGCTAACCATACTTATCAGTAATGATTCTCTATACATATTATTTATTTTAGAAAGTGATATTAAACTTGCATCTGTAATACACAGGTGAATTAAAAAAAAAAAAAAAAAAAGAGAGAAACAATGAAGAAACAAATAAATACAGAACTAGGATTCGTTCCGCCGTCTCCTGAGAGACGCAACACATGACGTAGGACCAAACAAATGCAGTGAGAAAGCTATAAACTTTTAAAAGCCTACAAATTTCAACTTATTCACCACACCAGAATGGTACCAACAAGCTGTGAGACTCACGGCCACATATAGAAATTATTAAATAGCTATAAAAGAATGTGGTACTTGCAAGTTCCGTCAGCAACTAAGGGTTAATGGCTTTATTTGTATTGTGTGTTGTATAGAGTTCTACCAATCAGGGAAGGATTTATTTAATGAAATAATGCATAATATTGCTGAATTCTGGCCATCATTGAAACATTAATTAGAGCATTTTTAAATAAAATTTTTGGAGAGAACTATTAAAGCAATAATATGAAAAAGTCATATTGTGAGTTAGCAGGGGTTTCAGGGCAGTAGCCACCACCTTTAACTTAGTAATATTGTAATAGTATTACTATTAAATTGTAGTCATAATATGAAAGTTTTGTGTAAAACAAATGTTTTAAATGTACTGCATAAATGTTGATTGACTTGTATCACATGTTCATCTGTTTACATTGTTGAGAACCAACTCCTATCTGTTAAACAAAATTTTTCGTGTCAAAGGAACAGGCACTGTATAATTTCCATTAGTGAACTTATATATGAATAACAGAAAAGATCCAAACAATTTGTTGGGGTACCAAATCACACAAAATATTTATCATGCAACTTCAGCACCACATATAGTTTCTCCTTATTTTTAGAACATTAAAAAAAAATACTTTTTTTGGCAAGCAACTTAACAAAAAAGTCTATAAATAATTAAGCTTTTGAACTATTTGCAAAACATTTAAACAAAAGCAATGGTAGCAAAGTCTTCTGAAGGAGAAATTACAAGTGTACTTTACTTGATGCGTTTTATCTCCATTAAAAAACTCTTAACACATCAGATACATTTCATACAGTGTAAAGATTTGTATGTTAAGGGATATGTCTGAAAGAAAGTCATATACCAGAAGTGCATTCTATATATATTTTCCAAGATTTCACCTTGAAATTACTGCAATTTATATTTAAAAAGTGAAACAATGTAGAGCAATTAATTAATTAATGATATAAAGATTCAGTATTTCACTGAAATGGTCATTTTCAACATCATGAAACAATAATTTCTTTTACAAAATTACCTTGTGAACAATTTTCGAAAGTCACACAACATCAAAATTCATAAATCATTAGGCTTTCCTATAGGCCTCAGCTTTTCTTACTTTAGGAACTAGATAGAACAATGAAGCAGGTATTGAACAAATTAGGATTTGTGATATTAAGACTAGCAAAAAAGTTTAGATAAAATATTTTATAAAAAATATACCCTAAAAACATTCAAATGCAAACTATTAATACACAAATTTGCACCAGAAATGAAGAGGAATGTATGTGATAAAAATTAAATACATTCTTTTCAATTGCAACCAGGTCACACAAGGAACCACATAAAGGAAGTGCCACATAAATTCTATAAGAAACCCTAAAAAAATGAATTACAGAAACTTTGAATTCCAAAAAACCTAAATTACAGAAACTGTGATGTAAGCAGCAGGCTAAAGTGCATCCTCAGGTGGAAAAAATTAATACTGAGTAACATGTAGACTTTCAAGTCAGATCATTATAGAGAGCTTGTGCTCTAAAAAAGGTTTCAGATTAATTACTATATTTTTGATTCAATTCTAATTGGAATACTAAAGCAAATAATGCAGAACTAAAAAAAAAAAACTATCTGTAAACTCCACTTAAATTTTACATTGAATGCATAGATTACACTGTCCTCCATTGTCCTTAACTACTGGAGTACAAGTACAGCAAAACATCAAAATATTAATACTTAACATATTTGTGTTCCCTGGCAGCAACAAAGAATCAAATCTACAGAAAATGACAGAGAGATATTCTAGTACAAGATAGCACAAAGAAGTTTCATTTGCCACCATTGCTGGACTCTTTTGCTTTGTTTTGATGGTTTTCAGAAAAATCCGACCATTAATGGATAATGAAAAAGTCCAGTACTAGTTAAACAAATTTCATACAAAGTTCAATATGAGGCAAAGTAGTATAATTTCAATCCTTTAAGAATATTTTAGCAAACAATATAGAGAATCTATCAATCCTTGAATAAAGTGATACAAAAAAAATTTCAAACAGAAATATACAAATTAGAAAATTAATAATGTAATTTTAAGAAAAACTTAACTAAAGCAGACTCATTACACATCAGTATTGAAAATACAGCCAAGAATTTCTTAATTATCGTCACATATTTGGTCAATCTCAAATAATGCACCCTTCACACAAATGCAAAAAACAATTTATACAAATATATGAACATTGGATATGGTGATGTACAAAATCTGTAATCACTTAATTCTCAATTCCACTGCCATAGGCCTTGAGATTCAGAGCATTTATTTAATTTGAGACTAGCACCAAATTACTAATAATTCATTAAAAACATATTGAATTACAGGGCATCTACAGAACCTGTAGCTTCAACAATATCAATAGCTAAGTTGGTGATATGAATCAGACTGCCTGAAGCACATTAGACATGGAGAAATTTCACAGAAATGTACAATGAAAAAATTAAAATAAAAAGGGGAAAAAAATGAAATGAAAAAATATTAATAGAAAAGTACAAAAGAACAATCTATCTAGAATATCAGTGTGGCAGTTTTGCACGGTCATTGCTAGACTGGCCCAATTCTTACTGAACTTACTGAACAGCACACTGGTCTGAAGTGCGGAAAACCTGGCCAAAATGTGAAAATTGGATTAATTTGCTTGCAAAATTGTTTTTTATAAAAAACATAAGTTTCATATTCTTAATCAGTGACCTCTGGAGCAATTACATACTTATTGTTAAGCAAATCAACAAAAACTTTTGTATTTTGGCCAGGTTTTGAGAAGCTGAGACCAGTGTGTGTCACGTCAGAAATATAGTGAGCAGATCTAGTGATGACTATGCAAAACTCCCAAGCCTCACCCCTAAAAGAATGCTATTTTCATTCAACAAATTATCAAAAAACACTGCATTGTGCTTAGGGCAAACTGATTCACTTCTTACATCAGAGACAACAAGGTTAATTTACAACAAGTAAATTGCAATGTCAGTTCATTTTCCTCCACATCAGATCTTATTAACAAAAATCAAAGCTCTTTATTACAATCTACACATTGGATTTATAAAGTATATAAAATTAACTTCAAAACAAGTAGTCATTTCTACATAATTCAAATTACTACAATTACTTTTAAGAATTTTAAAGAGTAAGTAAATAATAAATTAAAATTATACTTATTAGATTCCTTTATAGTCAGACCTAGAGAGCATTATGCCAAAATAGATGATTAACATAAATATATTTATCGTATTTTAGAACTTCTAATTTTATTTTATTTATTTTTCATTATTTTTGCTTTTTAAATTATCATAATCTTACCTTCAAATCTTCCATTCTTTGCTTAATTCTTTTGCGCATTTCTCGAAATCTGGGAAAGAAATTGAAAAGAAAAAAAAAAAATTCTGATAAGAAACATAAAAATTTTACATTTATACATTACACAACTTCTTCCAACAATTAACAATTTACCAACAATAACTTTTAATAACATAGCAAGTTCTTCTTTATATGAAACAGAAGCAATATTAGAAGAATTAAATCTTTCTTAATTCTTTTGGTTTTAAAACTTGTTTTGAACACACATTTTAAAATACAAAGTGAATACAAATGAAATCTCTTTGCAAAGAGCCTCATAATCTTAGGGAAAAATAAATAAAATTACATCAATAAAGAAACATACATAATTTCTCTATTATCGATTCAGAGAATTCAAGTTATGTTAATTCTTCTGACGTTTTTCTGACTGTTTAGCGAGTTAAATCTTGACGAAAAATTAATATACTTTGAAATTAAGTCCTCCCCGCTTGGCCCTGTTATCTCACATTAGATCAAATCAAAATACCATTTAAAGTTAATACGTAGAAATAATAACATAAATAACATGTCAAATAAAAATTCCACTTAAAATGGCAAAATATAATTTAGTAAAATGTCTTCATGGTTCTAATTGATATTAAAGAATACCTGGATTAAAAACCTATAAACACAAGTCAAACATTTTATATCCTAGAAATTATGCATTTTTTTAACTTCATTCCTTTATTCCATAAAACATTTCAAGTACAATTGTTGAACTTACTTAAGTCGCACTCTTTTCATCTCTCTCTCTTCTTCGTCTTGATAACGTTCAAGAATGGCACGGCATTCAGCAATACTCAGATTCAAAAATTGAGCAACTTCACAACTAATTTCTTGAGTGTTCTGACGATCCATTAAAAACAACTTAGCAACATCTTCATGTGGGCCCAACATAACTCGGACTAACAAGGGGTATTCATCATCTCGTAAGCGACGCTGCTCTGTAATTTTTTTTTACAGACATGATAAATTTTTCTAATTTAAAATATTGGATTTTTACTTTAAAATTATAGTAATTATCAATTAAGAACTTTCTTCATCTCCTAAAACTAATTTTACTAGTGATAACCCACTGACAAGGATATGAATAAATGAAAATAATATTGAGCTGATTTGGTTTTGCAATAATACAGCATCTCTCTTCAATATAATACCAAATCAGAATAACTAATTCATATTAATTAATTTAAGTAACATTATCATAGTAATAACTGTTTTTTTCCCTTTTCTTTCTTTCTCTCCTTACTGTAAAGAGGCACATTGAAGCACAATATTGTTGAAACAGGGTTAAGGGTTAACAGTTATTAGAATTATTGTGGAAATTCCATCAAAAATACTCAGTACTGACAGGGACATTAATTACCGCGCGCACGTGCACACACACACACCACACACACACACACTCTCTCCCCCCTCTCTCTCCTTGACTACAAGGCATTACACAAACCATATTTTAAAATTTACAATAGCTATTGTAAGCATGTGTCAAGGTCAAATCAAGGAGAGAGAATTAATGGCCTGGTAGAGAGAGGGGGGGGAGAGAGGGGGAGAGAGGGGGGAGAGAGGGGGGACGAAGGGGGAGAGAGGAGAGAGGGGGAGAGAGGGGGGAGAGGGGGGAGCAGGAGCGGAGAGTAGTAGGAGGGGGGAGAGAGGGGGGGAGAGAGAGGAGGGAGAGAGAGGGGGGAGGGAGAGGGGGGGGGAGAGGGGGGGAGGGGGGGGGGGGGGGAAGAGGGAGGGAGGGGAGAGAGAGGAGGGGCGGAGTGCGGAGAGAGAGGGGGAGGAGGAGGGGGGGAGAAGAGATAGGGGGGGAAGAGCGGGGGAGAGAGAGAGGGAAGAGGGGGAGAGAGAGGGGGAGAGAGAGAGGGGAGTAGAGAGAGGGGGAGAGAGAGGGGAGAAGAAGGGAGAGAGAGAGGGGGAGAGAGATAGAGGAGAGAGGGGAGAAGAGGGGAGAGAGAGATGGGGGAGGAAGCGGGGGTGAAGAGAGAGGGGGAGAGAGAGGGGGGAGAGAGAAGAGAGAGAGAAAGAGAGAGAGAGAGAGGGAGAGAAAGAGGGAGAAGAGAGAGAGAGAGATGAAAGAGAGAGAGAGAGAGAGGAGAGAGAAAGAGAGAGAGAGAGAAAGAGAGGAGAGAGAGAAAGAGAAGAGAGAGAGAAAGAGAGAGAGAGAGAGAGAAGAGAGAGAGGAGAGAGAAAAGGAGAGAGAGGAGAGAGAGCAAGAGAGAGAGAGAAGAGAGATTAGAAAGAAGAGAAAGAGAGGAGAGAAGAAGAGAGAGAGAAGGAGAGAGAAAGAGAGAGAAAGGAGAGAAGAGAGAGAAATGAGAGAGAGATAGGAAAGAGAGAGAGAGAGAGAAGAGAGAGGAGAGAGAAGAGACGAGAGAAGAGAGAAGAGAGAGAGAGACAAGAAGAGAGAGAGAGAAAGAGAAGAGGAGAGAAGAATAGAGAGAGAATGAAAGAGAGGAGAGAAAAGAGAAGAGAGGAGAGAAGAAAGAAAGAGAGCAGAAAAGAGAGAGAAGAGAAAAGAGAGAGAGAGAGAGAGAAACAGAGAGAGAGAGAGAAGAAGAGAGAGAGGACAAGAGAGAGAGAAGAAAGAGAGAAAGAAAGAGAGAGAAAGAAAGAGGAAGAGAAAGCAAAGAGAGAGTAAAGAAGAGAGAGAGAAGAAAGAGAGAGAAAGAAAGAGAGAGAGAAGAGAGAGAGAGAAAGAAGAGAGAGAGAAGAGAGAAGAGGAAAGAAAGAAGAGAGGAGAAGAGAGAGAGAGAGAAGAGAGGAAGAAGAAGAGAGCGCAGAAGAAAGAAGAGAGAGAGAAAGAAGAGGAGAGAAAGAAGGGAGAGAGAAAGAGAGAGAGAGAAAGAGAGAGAGAAAGAGAAAAGAAGAGAGAGAAAGGAGAGAGAAAGAGAAGAGAGAGAGAAAAAGGAGAAAGGAGAGAGAAAAGAGAGAGAAGAGAGAAGAAGAGAGAGAAGAAAGAGAGAAGAAGAGAGAGAGAGAAGAAAGAGAGAGAGAAAGAGAGAGAGAAAGAGAGAGAGAAGAAGAGAGAGAGAAGAGAGAAGAAAGAAGAGAGAGACGAGAGAGAGAGAAGAGACAGAGAGAGAGAGAAGAAAGAAGAGAATAAAAGAGAGAGAGAAAGAGAGAGGAGAACAGAGAGAGAGAAAGAGAGAGAGAAAGAGAGAGGAGAAAGATGAGAGAGAAAGAAGAGAGAAAGGAGAGAAAAGAAGAGGCGAAGAGAGAGAGAGAGAGAGGAAGAGAGAGAGAGAGAGAAAGAGTAGAGAGAGAGAGGAGAAGAAGAGAGGAGAGGGGGGGACTATTGCATAGTTTTTGTGATAATTAAGTTATTAATCGCATTAATATAAAACTTCAAATAATTCCTTCTAATAATCATAATTAAAATCAAGTATGGACACATATGTAAGGTGCACCTGGTTTTAAAAGGTAAAAAATGACAGATTTATATTAGGGTTAAGGTTCAGATTAAACCCTCTATACCCAGAACATCTGTCATTGTGGGGTTAGTACCTTGATATTCATTGCCTGAGGAAGTATTTTTAGAGTAATGTTTGTATTTAGGCAATTACGAGCAATAAAGGGAGGAGGCATTAGGAGACAGCAAATTCTGGGAACGTGTGTTCCTTCAGTAAGAACAAGGAAGCTATCACAATAGACAGAGTTCTGAGGTATACTGAGCCCCTCCAATGATGTGTTGGGTGTCTCAGTCTCTCCTATGCTTCACGTAATTTGCTCCAAATTACAGAACAATACTCTATTAATAATACTTTCACCCCGCTTACATGTAGGGGATTTACATTTACCTCGATTTATGAGGTGCCAAAATATTAATGATGAACTCAAAGTGGACTCTCAAAATCTAACACTTCTTATCAATAGACACTCTCATATTGCTTTATACATAAGTATACAAAGATAGAACAATTATCATAACGCTCATATGAGGGTAGATACCATCTTAAGACGATTTGAGATTCTCATTTAAAATTATTGATTATATTAAGTGTAAACTGACTATATTTGAAGTTTTTAAGTAATAGATAATTAAAATGATATTCGAACTCCAGTCAAAAAAACTTTGAAATACGCATAATATTGCACACGCAGAAAAGTAATTTTCTGCTCTTATCACTCTGTATTCCTTTCGAGTTTATTACTCCACACTCACATGATCATTTCCCCTTTCGCCTCAAATTTAGAACGAGGTCTTCATTTCTTGTCACATTTGAGAGTAAAACATCTATCGCGCAAAAATTATCTCTCTCTTACTCTCTTCTTGGACAGTTTGTATCATCGCTTAATGCCCTTGCATTCTCTATTCGCTAGCTTTTTCACCTCTCCATTCTGCTGTATATTATGTATTACCCCAATGACTCTCTTTTTTCCTTTTTTTTTTTTTTTTCTTCTTTTCAGTAGTTCTACTCGTATAACTCACTCATATGGTCTCTCTTATATTCTACGTATCTGCTCTAGGAAATAAATATTTGTCTTTCTCTCTCTCTTTGAAATATCATCTTCTCATCAAAAATACTTTATCACTGCTTCATGCAAGAAAAAGTCAGTCGTGTAGTCTCTCGGTCACTTCTTTGAATATTCATACATCACTCTTTCATCATGTTTAAGCGCTACTGAGATTCTTTAGTCAAAGAGACAAGTTTAAATTTTTGTTCTATTGTGTCAGTTCATCTGTTTTTTGAGTGTCGTACATAATACTCATTAGAACTGGTTATGCTTGATTCCCTGCATACTCTATTGATAATTTTCGCAAACCTATGTATAAATCACTTCTCGGGGTTGTATCTACTCTTCCGTCTCTCCCCCCTTATGGCTGAGATACATACAATTGGAAACCCTGGACTCATGACGCTCTCATATTCCGCCAAAGACACGTACATGGCGTCTTCTCAGAGTCTCTCTAATACTCACTACTCTGTTCCTCCATTACCCTCTTTTGTTAATGCGCATATTCTAGTTAAGTCGATATACTAGTGTGTCGCTACAGAATGGACTACAGACTTATTCTCTCTTGTCTACTTTCTCTCTCTCTTTCATGCTTCTCTTCCATATCTGTCAGTAATTTTCATTCTAAGTCTTCTAGTGCTTTAAACTATATTTTTGCTCGTTTAACATTTTTCTACTCTTTTAATCCTAAACGTACTGTGAGAATCACATTCACTCTCATTACCCTATGTATATTCTACATTCTGTCTACATCCTTTCTACAACTACATAACTAACGATTATTAATTATCATTCTTCCCACATCATTCTTGATTAATTTATCTTCCCTCAAAGAAACTGTCTTTTATTTCTTCCTAATATCATTTTTTGAACATCGTGTTTCTGTCATAAGATATACATGTCCTTTCTTGTGCTCTATATTCTACTCATCTTCAGTACCATCTAAAATTTTCTTCAGTCTCCTCTCTCTTCTTGTCACTCTGACTCTCTCTCCTTCACTCTACTATATCTCAAAATTTCAACTCATTCGTTTACTATTTCTCTCTCACGTCCTCTTTTCTTTGTGCATCTCTCTTAAATAAAACTAAATTTATACATACTTTTTCTCTTTCTCATGTTATTTACATATCTTACTAGATCTGTATACCTATGATTATCTATCTTTCTTTCTGCAATCCCATAGCTCTTTTCTCTCTCCTTTCCTACTTTCTGGTCTGCTTCTCTCTTTCTCCCATTTCCCATCTCTTTGCTCCCTCACTGGGAAACTTGTATTATTGTACGCGTTATGTGATTATCAAAATTTGTCGTTTCGTTCCAAACCTTTCTGTAAGTCGTTGCTCCTTTTTTGTCTCTAAAACAGGCACTGCTTTACCCTCTAGCTACTCACTCTCTCTATTAGCTCTCTCTCCCATATCGCCTGAACGCGTTCCTTGCCTCACGATCATTCCATCTGCATGTAGAGTTCCAACTCCACGCTACGTCTAGC